CTGTCCGCGGTGCTGATGCCGGCCGACACGGGGGGCGGGCCGGGCACGGCCAGTAACGGGCTGCGGGTCTGTGTGTGTCTGCGTGGGTCTGTGCGTGTGTGTCTGCGTGGGTCTGTGCGCTCGTTTCCAGGTCCCAGTTCGCGCTGAAGTTCCTGGACCCCTCGTTCGTCCCCATTACGAACTCCCTGACCCACGAGCTGCAGGAGAAGCCCTCCAAGTGGGCCTTCAACCGGACCGCCTTCGCACATCAGAGGTGAGCGTGCGGCCAGGCGCCGCACCCGCGCCTCCCCTTGTCACCCTCCCTGAGGTTGTCCCCTTCCCCCCAGGATTTAAGAAAATACAATCAGGGACTGCTAAACACTCTGAGCTCTGAGTAATTTGCCAGCGGTGAGAGACAAAGGCTGAATCAGAGCATTTCCCCTGATGGTTAAGCTACCTTGGAAGAACTGATTATTTCAGAGCGGGACACCAGGCTGCAACACGCATTATTTTACCAAACAGAACGTGACCCAGTTTCCCAGTGTGCAAGTGAAATTGTCGTTACTTCAAGATAAATGGCTGGGGTTTTAAAACTTGAAACAAATCGGACTGTAACAGCCGTGCAATGCCGTGTTCACGGAGGCCAACACACACCCAGCTGAACTTCCCAGCTAACGGCGGTTCTGAGCAAGTGCAGTGCTGCTCTGCCTTCCAGCACTGCTCCGGCTGAGGGGGCGGGCAGAGCGAGGGGTTCGGATGGAGGCCTTCGAGCCCGAATCCACCGGAGACATGCTCTTTGTGCATCGCCTTCTCCCTGCTGTTCGCAGGTTGCACTGACTTTCCTGCTGTGTGGCGATGGAAAGGGTTTCTCGGTTCCTTCAGCTTCCTCAAAGCTGCTCCGTACTTAACGGGAAGTAAAATGTGCATTCAGTTTTCTCACTGTGATGTGAACTTGGTGGTGTCTGGCTAGCCTCTTTTATTTATCGACTTTACTGAGAGAGAGAGAGAGAAAGAGATCAGTAAATATATACTTTTACCATTTTTTTAAATATATATATATTTACTGATATATATAGGAAAAAGACATTCTATAAAAGAAAAGAAAAACATTCAGCAATTTAAGATCGCTATTACCATCTTGGACTGCAATTTTGTCCTGACAAATGCCTGCTGTTTTAGAGACTCTGCTCACATACCCCACCTGAGAAGCAGGATCCCAGGCCCCTCCGCTCAGCGGCCAGAGAGCTGGCAGAGTCAGGATGGGGCTGCTGCACCCCTCAGTGCTGGCGGGCAGGGCTGGGGCTTCTCTCCTCCCTTCTGGTCACTCTCCGGTCACAGGTCAGCGCTGCTGCTGGCACAGCCGGGCGAGTAGTGGCCTTCTAGTGCCCACAAACCCTGCCTGCTGGCCCTAAGGAGCTGTGGGCCACAGAGAGGAGACGTCACTTTCCCTGCCCCATCCTTTCCTGGGGACCTCCCAGGCTGGTGTGACAGTGGCCACCCCTCGTATTGCTTCATTCCCGGCACCACCAGCTCATCCTTCATAAGTCTGTGCCTGAGCCACCCCTCTGGTGATTTTAGCTAATGCCTCAGGATCTGCCTTTGCGCTTGTCTGTTAGCCATAACCCATAATTAGGGCACCCAGTGGGACTCCATTAATGCTTAGACATTGGAGGATGCGAGCTGGAAGAAGGGTTGTTTGTTTTCCATAAACATGAGCAAATAAAGTGGTATTGGTTTTCTAATTTTATGCCCTGCGAGGCAAATTCCTGAGCAGGGTTGGTTTTGTTTGGTTTTTAAGTATCTCTAATAACCCTTGTAAAAATGCCGGCGTGCTTGCCCAAATAAGACATTAAGGAATTATGTTTACATAAATGGAGACAGCAACAGTCACTTGGTTTTGTGATTCAAAGCTTCTTAATGAGAACACAAAAACGACATGTATTTAAAAATCAGCTACTGTTAATTCAACTGAATATCCTGGACTGCTTGGTTTTGCTTCACATACCTCATGTGCAAACATGGTACCCATCATTGCCAAAGATCCCCAGTCCTGTACCAAGAGTGAAACGCACGCAGAGAGCACCAGCAGCAGACTTACTTACCCACCAGGCCTGTATCACAGCACAAGCAGAACGGTGCTGTGCACCACCCCTCAGCAAGGCGGCTGTGGGAGGGGTGTGCTGTTAGCTGCACGCCTTGGACTTACACGGTGAATCCAATATTTTAGTCCTGACACTGTTCCAAGAGATACGGACACATCCTTAGCTGGCGTCAGTCAGGACCACCCAGTAAAGCCAAGCGGAGCACTAGGTAAGGAGCCAGCTCCACAATTCCTGTCTATTTATACTAATTTAAAAGCCATTGCATCACATTGCTCAGGAAACTACTTTACTACATTTAAAAAAAAAGAAAAACGTAAGTCTAGCTGGAAAGAAAATCTCTCCACCACCGAAAGGGGGGAAATATAACTCCATGCTTTCTTTTCTTTTTCTGTTTTATTTTAGGCAAGAAATCCTTCAGCATGTCGATGTAATAAAAAATTTTTCTTTGACCAAGAATAGTGTTCGGATTGGACAGCTGATGCATTACGATTATTCCAGCCATAAGTATGTTTTCTCTATTAGCAATAACTTCAGATCGCTGCTCCCCGACGTGTCGCCGATCCTGAACAAGCATTACAACATTTGCGCCGTGGTTGGAAACAGTGGGATCCTGACCGGGAGTCAGTGCGGGCAAGAAATAGATAAATCTGATTTTGTTTTTCGCTGCAATTTTGCTCCAACTGAGGCTTTCCAAAAAGATGTTGGAAGGAAAACCAATCTTACAACCTTCAACCCCAGCATCCTGGAAAAGTATTACAACAATCTTTTGACCATTCAGGATCGCAACAACTTCTTTTTAAGTTTGAAAAAGCTTGATGGGGCCATTCTTTGGATCCCCGCTTTTTTCTTCCACACATCAGCAACAGTCACGAGAACACTGGTTGACTTCTTTGTTGAGCATAGAGGGCAACTAAAGGTCCAGTTGGCTTGGCCAGGAAATATAATGCAGCATGTTAACAGGTGTGTATTTTTGCCTTGCTTTTAACTTGTCAAATGCGGTATTTTTGCCTTGCTTTTAACTTGTCAAAATGCGTCTCTCTCTCTGTACAAATACAACTGTATTTATTTTTCTATTCATGCCTGATCTGGTAGGCACTGTCTAGCAAGTCAGGACCCGATACTGCTTGCTTTTAGAGCAAATGCGGGTTTGTTGTTGCTTCAGTAAGTACTTCGGTTATTTCTTTACAGATGTATACCCAGCACAGCAGAGGTGGGTTGGTTGTTCACACCGGGGCACGGTCGATCACCGGGCTCTGCTCCTGCCGCTGCTTCCACAGACGGGAGGAGTACGGGGGAGCTGAGTGAGATGCTGCACTTAAGGAAGAGCTTGCTCTTCTCGGCTAGCAAATAGGGATGCTGACAGACAGCTGCAGGGTGGGCCAAGGAAAACTGTAATAAATCAAAGGAGGATAACGTTGCCACCTCATTAGCAAGTGCACGTGTGAGCAGGAGCCAGTGAATGGTACTTTTCTGGATAAGGCTCTACCTCTCCTGGTTAAAAACCAGAAACGTTCAGAAGGGGACCACAAGAGACTATCGGTCAGAGTGCTGCTAAGGTTGTTTTGCATTCCCGGTCGTTACAGACGGACCTGAGCAGCAATCCTTGCCTTATCCAGGCTATCAGGTGTCAGCACTGATGGTCTCCAGGCAGTAGCATTATTTTTTTCTCACAGCAAACCTGTGGCATTACTTGCACCCCACACTAACATGCCTTTATTTTTTTCACAGATACTGGAAGAACAAACACTTGTCACCCAAGCGGCTGAGCACAGGTATTCTCATGTATACCCTTGCTTCTGCCATATGTGAAGAGATCCACTTGTACGGATTCTGGCCCTTTGGGTTCGACCCCAACACGAGGGAGGACCTCCCGTACCACTACTATGATAAGAAGGGAACAAAGTTCACGACCAAGTGGCAGGAGTCCCACCAGCTGCCTGCAGAGTTCCAGCTGCTCTACAGGATGCACGGTGAAGGACTGGCCAAACTCACCTTGTCGCATTGTGCCTAAGAACCTAAATCTTGAAGTGCCAAATGATTGTCTAAAAAGTGCCCAAAACCGAATTAAACATTCTTCAGATATAATTCTAAGAAAAAAACCAACAACCCTAAAATATTCCCCATAATATAAAGATGCTTTTTAGTCACCCTTGTCACTGCTCATCAAAGGGTTTAAGCTTATTTAGCAGTGCAGAAGCATTTATCAAATTCTGTGGATGCTATTCATGCAGCAGCAAAGTTGAAATATTTTGCATTTATAGATACGCTACTAAGTATGTTTTAAGATATTTTCGTATTTTAGCATTCCACTAAATGCCCTAAATCTCTTAATTTTATTGTCCCTTCCCAATTAGAATTAGAAATGCTAATTTTAAAAGGTTTTGCTTCTCTTGTATATGTTGCTATCAATAGCTCAGCGTACATATATTGCTGTGGCCAATTGAGAAAGCCAGTTCAGAATTCCAGTTCATCGTCACTTGCAAGTTCTTCAGTGTGGATCCTGATTTCCACCGCTTGCATATTTTCATATTTACTGGATTTTACATTTTTTTAAGAATAACGTGAAGAAGAAGGTCACAATATGACTTGTACCTTAGCTAAGCATTTATATCGCTCTCAGAATACTTCAGCATTTAATTCAATTTGGGCCAAATCCTAGTCCAAATTAGCCAGGCTGAAACATGGTCATTCCCATCCATGTGATACTATTTGGTCTTTTTATTTTAAAGTTAAACCACCAGGACAAACAGTATTAGGTTTCTCTGGAGATGTGTTAGGTGAGAAGAGCCCGAAACCCCCACGCGGGCGCACCTCCCTCTGCGCCTGCTCTCCGCACCCTCCGACGATGAGGGGTCCTTCGGGAGGACGATCCCTCCGAGTGGGGAGCACGGGAACTCCTGCCTGTCCCTTTGCACCCACAGAGCCCGCCGGTGCTCCCCGTTCCCCCCTCCCTGTGCACATGGTCCCACCACCGGCTGCACCCCACAGCACCGCGGGTCAAGGAGCTGGCCAGGCACAGCCGCCACGGTGGTAAGCGCGATGTTTCCCCTTGCAGAGCTGCAAGCGTCGGCACTCTCTGTGTTTCGGTATGTCCCAAAGTGCCGTCCGTCCCGTGGTGGCGATGGGGTGTATTGCCCAGCGATGCAGGGTCTGTAGGGCGCAGTAATAGCCTTCATGAGCCCAATTAACGGTGCTGGGGCAGACGGGCCATCCAGCCCCACCAGTCAGCGAGGCTCCGGTTGTCCCCTCGCCGCAGCCCGTGGTGGTCCTGCCAAGGGGCAGGGGTGCCCAGCCTGCCCTGCGCCCGGCCCTTGGCTCCACAAGCGGGGCTGGCTGGGCAGGGACCGACTGGCCGGGCAGCAATGGCAGCCAGGCGCCGGGATTTTTAAAACTTGGTTTCAAAGGGAAGTGAGCGCAGCAGGAGTGCAGGGAAGAGGAAATACAGTTGCCACATTTCCCCATTTACACCTCTAAATCCACGGTCAGACAACTAAATTAGTGGCCCCATTTTCCCATCACCAACAGCCATCCAAGGCAGCCAAAGGAAGACATGGCTTCCTCAGTACCACTGAAAACCAGGCTGTTTGTAGAGAGGACAAACCTTAGGGTCACTTATGGTTTGAAAATGTTGGCCTTTTTGTCTCAGGATAAAGGAGCCTGTAAAATAACTGGGTTTCTTATTACAACAAGTATACTTACAAGTATTTTAACATTTTTCTACTATTCTGTATGATGCTGAGAACTGACTATACACTGAAAGAAGATGCAAAATCCAATTTAAAATCATACTTTAAAATGGCACATATTAATTTTTCTCAGCCTCTTTACCTCCAAGCAGACGTAGGAGGTGAGGAAGGAGATCTCAAGTACAACACCAAACCTGAGCGGCCCGGAGTATCTCCCGGTGCCAGCCGCCACCCTGCTGCGGCACCGCAGCTCCGCTGGCCCCCAGAGCTGTGCCCCTGCTCTCCCCCGTGCCCCGGGTGGAGGAGGAGCTGGAGGCTTTCTTCCCCATTTTAATTATCCCACATTTTCTGGCTTTTGCTTTTTCAAAGGCTGTTTAGGGCTGGGGTGCGCTGTGGAGGGGCTGGGGTCTCTCCCGTGCCGCAGCGTGCACAGACCCGCTCCTGCAGGGAACCGCGGCACTTCCCTCCCCAGCTGCCAAGCCTGGCTCAGCATTCCCGGGGGCTCCGGCTCTCCGTGCTGTCGTGTCGGTCCTGCGCTCATCACTGTTCCTACAGCAGAGTACGACCTCTAGCAACTGTTATTATGAAGACATAGTCGTGCAGTGATGGTGGTGTCTTATGCCATATGGTGCCATATGAGTTGTTCTTGATATTATCATGTATTATTTGTGTCGTAGTCGTGCGCAAGGGCCCGGGCCAGGGAGCAGAGTTTGGCTGTGCTGGGCACAGACCGCCGCAGAGCACAAGGACAGGCTGTCCTCATCGCTCGCAGCTGCCCGCGTCCCTGGGGGAAGGACGGAGTCCCCCCGACCCCTGCAGGCCCTGGCAGCAAGGTTTGCGGGATTGTGCCCACTGGATGCCCGGACTGCATGTCCGAGCGGGCAGCAGGGAGCTGCTGGGGCCGGGAACAGCCAGGCAGCACCAGTCCTGACCGAGTCCTGCAGGAAACCTTCTCTAAGTGCTGGAGCACATGGATTGTTTTTGCCCAAAAACAGAAAAAGAGAAATTGCACAGGGAAGGAAGAGTTCTGCACTAGTTGTTAATGAAGTACAGTAATTAATCATGTCTGATATAATTTCCTATTGAGCTGTACAGCAGATGCATGTTCGCTAAGGCAGGCGGATCGCTTTGCAGGTCACTGAGGTGCATGGTGAAGGTGTGCCCAGCGGCCAGGACCCAGCTCGGCAAAGAGCCCACCGGGGGAGAAGGGTCACCCTGAACCCCGAGTGATGCCTGTTGGCTTCAGGTTAATGCCAGATATTTTAATTAAGAGGCATTTTATCAATTTCATGTAGGGAACAATCATTTTTAATCAGCAAAGTAAAGAAATGTGAACTATTATCATTCTATTGGCATGAAAGTGGAGGCCAATGTGCTCTATACAATTTTTGGCTGCTGGCTCCCAATGGGAAATTGCACTGGCAGATCCTGCTTGGCTGCTGCACGGCGTTTACATGACATAACTACTTTAAATTAGGTGTAGTCACAAGTAAATATTCATTAGCCTAAACAAACGTATTTCCGTCCATGCACCTCCTGTGTCTCCAAGGTCCCCTTTTTGCAATGGGGATGCTCAGCCTGGGACGAGATGGTTCATTGCACATCTCCCCCGGCGGCTCCACGCACCTCCTCCCCTAACGGCAGCGGGACCGCTGGCGGGGCACCGACACTGGCAAGGGCACTGGATGCTAGCACGCCCAGTGTGGAAACAGATGAACCTGCCGTGTAACTGCGTAGTAAAACTGGGATGGGAAAGTCTCTGGAGTCAAACTGGCCGCGGGTGCACTGTGAGATGCTGGGAAGCCGTATGGGATGGGCCACCTGCTGTGACCCAACCCTGTCCCCAGCATCCCCAGAGAGGGCTGGTGGCAGAAGTGGATTTCCCCATGCTGAAGGCGCTGCAAGGGCTTGCGTGGCTGCTGCACCTAAGCGGCAAAGCTTGTGTGGAGCTGCAGCACCCTGCCTCTCCCCGAGAGCCCGTGCGGGAGGAGAAGGCATCAGTGCTGGCATGCCCAAGGGCCTTGGTCGGTCTTTCCTGAGCAGTGCACATTTTCTCTCCACTCAAACTACTGCTTTAGAGCACCCGGGAGAGAAGATAAAACATAAAAGAAGTTGAAACCGAAAACCTAAATTGCCCCGGGATAGTTTTTTAATTTTTCATAATTTATTTTTTTAAATTTGATTTCCCTTCCTAATCACAATAAACTTGGGAAAATTGCCCACAGTTGGAATTTCTGTTCCCCCCACAACTCGCGCCCCCAGCCTTTTTCCCACGGCTGTGCTCGGGAGGTCTGCGATGCCCCACTCACCCCCAGCCCGGAGAGCACCAGGGACACAGCGCCTCACGTGCCCCCGGACTGTGGAGAGGATGGTGATGGAAAGGTGTTTTAACACATGGTACCTTCATTTGATCTTGCTTAATTTCAGCAAATGGAGCATCTCTCTCAGGTTCATCGCGCCTGTGGCGAGGTCCCATTATGACTGAAGGCAGCAGACCCTGCTGGGGGGTCTCTGGGGGGAGCCCTGGCACTCTGCAGCCCCCTTCTGCCCCCAGAGAGGGACGGGACCCCCCGTCGGTCCCAGGGGATGGCCCTCACAGCACAGCTGGAACTTTGCAGAGGCACAAAGAGGCACTGAGTGTGGAGAAGGAAGCACAAAAACAACTGCAAATATTCGGAAATGGGAATACAGAAAAATTATTGACAGAGCGCCATATTATATCATTGATTTTTAAGCAAAACTCCCCATCGATTTTTCAGAACCACATTGAACATTTCAGAATCATTGATTTTAATGGGGAGTTCTGCCCCAAAATCAATGGCGCAATACAGCCCAAAGTAAATTGCTTCTTAGTATCAATATTTTTTGTCCAAGCTGTTGCAATGTGGAAAATAATCTTAAAATGCGCATCTTTTGGTTTTGCCTGTTTTCTTAGACGCTCTTTGAATTCTGCTTTTATAGAGAGACCAGAGGGGAAGGGCAGCTTGTGCCGACTGGTGGGACCAGCAGCGGCCCAGGTGGGCTCTGCTCCCCCAGGCAGAAAAAGACCCTCCTGATGCCTCGCCGTCAGACTGGGCTCTTTCCTAAACCCCCATTTTCAGGCTGGTTTTCTTGTAGGACCTCGCGTTAGGGCACTGTGCATCCCAGAGCAGCAAAGTGGGGTGACACACCCCCCCCCCCAAGTGTTTGCTCTGACAGGTCTGGGCTCGGCGTCCTTTTCTCACATCGCCGGGCTTATGGCACGTGTAATTCTGGTTTTGTAGAAAATCAGGTCTCCCTTTGAGCTGGAGGAAGTCAGTGCTGGGTGGCGGGGAGGGGCCCTGGAGGGGCCCTCGGCGCTGGCTGGTGTCCCTCAGCTCAGAGGTGCCCTCAGAGAAGGTCCAGGCTTGGCCGCTCGCAGTGGGCTGCTGCAC